AGAAAACAGATATTCAGGACAGGCTGGTGATTTCCAGGCTGTGGTTACGCTCAGATATTGTAGGAATGAAATAACCAGGTATTAGACGGCATGAAACTCCTTGTAAGGGCCTACAGAAATCCCTGACTGTGGTTCTGGTCTAAGAATAGCTAAACAGATCATGTGGTGCTCAAAAAAGCACATTTATCCAGGAAGTACTGTTATGATTCATATTCAGGACAGGCTGGTGATTTCCAGGCTGTGGTTACGCTCAGATATTGTAGGAATGAAATAACCAGGTATTAGACGGCATGAAACTCCTTGTAAGGGCCTACAGAAATCCCTGACTGTGGTTCTGGTCTAAGAATAGCTAAACAGATCATGTGGTGCTCAAAAAAGCACATTTATCCAGGAAGTACTGTTATGATTCTAAAACTGCTATCTGATGTGGTTGAACCTGGGGGCTATTCTCCCACAGTGTTCCTCAAAGGTACATGTACCTATGAGTGTGAGAATACTGTACCATATTTACAGATGTGTTATGCCTACGTGCTTAATTAATAGATGAGAGTTTTGAGGTAAAGGACCATTCAGCTTTAGAGAAATGGATAAATAAAACTAGTACACTAGTAAAAACATTTCCTGTGTCCCTGGTACTAATTGTATATGTTACTTTTCGGAGAGCCATTTTGATGAAGTCTTTACTAAATCTTAAATATACTCTGTACATTTGGCTGTGTGGTCAAGGAAGTGGAGTACATGGCTTCGTATTTGCTCATATATGACAAATGAGTCCATGCCATCTTATCTCACTGTAAGGTACCTGACTCTGGGTTCCACGCTTTGAGGCCCATAGTCTCAGATATGTTAGGTAGGCGTCTGTAATAAATCTCGTAATATGCCAACACTTATATATGACTTCCACTGTATTGTTAGAGACTTGTTCCATATGATTGATTTGAATGTGGCCATGTGCTATGAAGGGATATAAAAGCCTTCTCAGGGATAGCATAGGGGCTTATGAAAGATCTGAGTAGTTTATGGTAGTGATGTATGGACAGGTGCATGGCAGGTTAGATGGCAGGGTAGCACTCCATTGACCCCTCAACACAAATAAGTGAATTTAGTCAGATCACTTCTCAGACTGTGTAGTTATGTGTTGGAGGATTGCCTTCTGGTTTTACTGTGTGCTGTTATTGTCTGTTTATTATTGTATATTTTAATAAACAAGTTTAAATGTAAGTTTGATTCTCCAGACTTTCTCCCATGTGTGTTATTGTGAGAAAACTACATTAAGGGCCTTTCCCCTCCCACAAGGAATTAATAATCACTATTTCCTACCTTTACTTTTTTCAGTATGAATTTCCTTAATTTTACAATGGATTTTATAAAAATGGCGGAGAGATTTTGATAGTGAGAGAAGATAGGGAAGTAATATCTGCTCTTAGGCCAACTTCGGTTGGTGAGAGACAAAAGCTTACACGGAGCTCACCACCTTGAACTCTCCTAACTTTGTCTTGTATCCTGGGGCCATGTAACCATGAGATGCTTTGATATCAATTACAGGTTTCTAAACGGTACATGAATTATTCAGGCATCTGATCTGCTGATTCATTTTCAATGAATGAATGAAGCAAATCACAATACAATTATCATAGAATTGTAGGGCTCGAAGGGACCGGTTTTCTAGGCCAGGGGTTTTCAAAGTTGGGTCTCATGTGCACCCAGTTAAGCTGCTGGTGGGCCACAAGATGCTTTGTTTATCTAAGCGTCCATAGGTACGGAGCCTCGCAGCTCCATTAGTTGCGGTTCCACCTAGCCATGTGAAAGACTAGTTCACTGTCTGATAAGCAAATGCTTATCCGATAGTCAACTAGTCGCTCCCTCCCTTTGCTGCCTCTATCAGATAGAGGCGGGGGGGGGGGGAGGAGGGTACTTTCAAGCAATAGTGCCACATGGAGCCCAGGTTCAGCTGCTCCATGCAGCACTGCCACTTTGAATATCACGGGGATCCTGGTATAAGGTTTCTCATGTTGGCATTTCAAAGCGCAGCACCGCATGGAGCCCAGGATCAGCAGGGGAGTCCACTTTGGGCTAGTGCCACTTGGAAATGCCGCGTGAAGCCCAGGATCAGCTGGACTCCCTAGCTGGCCCCGGGCTCCACATGGCGTTGCCACTTTGAAATGCCGCAAGGAGCCCAGTGTTAGGCTCCTCACAGCATTTCAGTGCGACAGTGCCGTGCGGAGCTCGGGTTCAGTCCCCAGCTGACTCTGGGCTTCGACGCTTTCTCCTTTGAAGCATAGCAACAGCCTTAGGGGCTGTTGCTACACTTCAAAGGCGAAGACGCCCTATTGACTAATTGAATAGTCGATACAAAAATCATCGACTATTCCAATACCCCATACTTAACATCCTTACTGCTAACACTCAGCAAAACGTCTCATAGGCCACACATCACAGATATATGCCTGCAGGTTGCCCACCACTGATTTATTGGGAATCAAGTATTGCCTTCGAAAATGATAACCCTGGAACCAGATTTTCAAGAGTTTGGTGAATGCTGCACCAAGCATAACTCTAGTAATCTACCCTGGCAAAAATATGTGGCAGTGGTAGACTAGCCCTGGAGGGAGCTATGTCCAATCTAGTCACTATTTTAGGGATGTGAATGGGTAACCAGTTACCCCTTAAGCATCACCCTTAACAGTTAATTGGCACCTGGGAGCAGCCAACTTGGAGGGCTGCTCCGCCTGGGGTTCTTAAGTTGAATCTGTATGTAAGTCAGAACTGGTGTCCAGATTCAGCCACTGTTGAAACTGATCAGTTTCAGCAGCGGCTGAATCTGGACGCCAGTTTCGACTTACATACAGATTCAACTTAAGAACAAACCTACAGTCCCTATCTTGTACGTAACCCGGGGACTGCCTGTACTTCAAAGCGGCCACATCCTGGGCTCCACATGGTGCTGTCACTTTGAAAAGCTGCATGCAGCCCAGGGCCATCTGGGGTGTCCCCAGGATGTACATGGCGTTTCAAAGCATGTGTGGTGCTACCGCTTTGAAACGCTGTGGGAAGCCTGGCGTCAGGCTCCTCGTGGCATTTCAAAGGGGCAGCTCTGCGTGGAGCCTGGAGTCAGCTGCTGATTGTGGGCTCCACGCAACATTTTCGCCTTTGAAGTGTAGCAACAGCCCCAGGTGGAGGCGCTGTATCAACTAATCGAATAGTCAATACAAAATGCATTGACTATTCGATTAGTCCATTACGCAATACTTAACATTCTTAGTTCCACCTCATTTACGGATGTCTTTTATCTTGTGAATAGCTTAATCAGTCCTCCGTAAGCTTCCCAGGAATTAGTTAATTCTGGTTGATTTGAGCAATTGGTTGTGTAAAAATCCGCCTTATAAGGAACATTTAGATCTCAATTGTGAGTGTACAGTGTGTCTGCAGTACACAGCGACTTACTGCTGAAAGACCTCTCGGAAGTAGTCACTTATAAAGGGGTGTTTTAAGAGGCCCTTTGGCACTCAGAATGGGAGGGTGATCCAAGTACAAGCTGTGGGTGTGGAGACATGAAGGCAAGGAAGAGGCAAAAATTTCATATGGGAGGGGGTGTTGAGGAAAGAGGTGCACAGACAGAAATGGCCTTGGTTATACTAGAGTCTTATAGCTGATTTAAAAAAAAAAAAGAGTTTAGTATGGAGGCTGGTAAAGGAACATGGTCAGAGCAGTGGGATAAGAAAACTGGGGCAGATCTGAGACCCTTAGTACTGATCTTGAGCAATGAAGCGTTATATTTCTCAGGATGCTTGAGTCTTTGGGTGTATGAATTCTCCAGGGTTAAATGTCACTGCACAATTTTAGGCCTCGGTTTTCGCTTACATGGTATAATGTCTGTGATGTGTTATCTTTGTTTTCTAGCTGAAAGAAAAGTTAGCCTTCCTGAAAAGAGAGTACAGCAAAACATTCAACAGGCTACAGGTAAGTAAGCACCCTTGTCTGACCCTGAATTATTAGGTTTGCCCAACTCTTGTGTTTCTTAATGATCAATTTGGTGACAGGTGCTGAGATTTTGGGAGATATATATATATATATATAACAGTGCCAAGAATAAAATGCTGAGTCGTTGATTTATTGTTGTTTTAACAGCGTGCACAAAGAGCTGAGAGGGTTAAAAAATATGTTAAGAAAACGGTCGCAGAACAAAATCGATTGCTTAGGCAAGAGGAAACTGAGACTAATACCCCAGGTAACAATTCAAAATATAGCCCCCGGAGGTGGGATTATTTCTTCCTTTAACCATTTGGCATTATGAATAGAGCTGTGGGATCCCATGCTACTGTTCAGGGTAGTATAGCGCTGCAGCTGCCCATCATGCAGCCCTGCCAGCTATTGTGTAGTGGCCACCGGAGCTGGAACCAGGGCCACAGGGAGGCTGCCCTAGTAGGGACAGCCTCACTCCAGCCCCAGCTCCAGTCGCAGCACACCCGTTGTCTGCCAGACCAGTCACCCTGCTGCTGCGTGGGGAACCCAGCGGGAGGGCTCATTAGCATCTGGGGGCGTGGCCTGGCAGTGTGCCATGGCTCAGCAGGCAGGGATTCGTGGACCGGCAGTTGGGAACCGCTGCATTATACCATCTAGTTTCTAGAAGTATCGTTTCTTACCGAGCATGTAGCCATTTGGTGTTTGCTTAGTAAACTGAGCAAATAGCGTGTGTCTGCTTTGTTTTCTTGGCTGAAATATAAAATGTCAGTGGAATAATCTTTGTAGAATCCTTAGTGTGCAAATTTTGCTAAAATTTTCACTGGTTCTGCTTTGTTGCCTCCTGTCTCAGTGGGATTCTTCTGGGGAATGCTCTTCATACATTGCATTTGTTTCCACAGAACTGGTGGATAAACAGTCTCCCAATGCTGGTGATAAACCTGAAGCATGTGGGTTTCAGACCAATGCCTCTTCTGCCTCTGGCACTGAGAAAAAAACGTCTGTCACGTTTAAACTTGAGCCTGAATTCTTCAACAAGGAAGTTAACCTACAGAAAAGTTCACAGGCAGAAATCACAAATAGGGACCAAGAAGATGTCCTCTCTGGCCTCGTTATGTCTGTTACTGAGGAGAGCCAAAATCAGCTGCCAAGGAGTGGAATGGCTTTGGTCTCACGGGGGAGAGAATCCGCTTGTGAAGTGCCACCAGTCAGTGCTGGTCAGAGGTTGGAAAATCAAATGGCCAGTGCAGAGGAGCTTGGGTCACCAGTGTTCAAGGGGAGGAATACCATCTCCAGCACCAAGAATAACATTCCGACAGCCCTCAAGCTGGTCATTGTGAGGGAAGAAAAAGATTTAACTCCTCAAGATCCACGGGTAGGAGATTGGCAGGAAATGCCCAAAGAAAATGTATTTCTGAGTGTCCCTGAGCCACGTTCATACATGTCGATGGGTGGCAGTAACGTTCAGCAGCCTTTGTCTCCATGTGCCGTGGACATCTGTGCCAGCTGTGAGCCAACAGCACCGTGTTTAGTGAGCGATAGCCCTGTTTCATTTGAAAACGTGGGTGATGCAGAAAAAGAACTTGCCTGTGTAGAAAACAAAATGGAAAATGTGTGTGTGGATTGTGAAGAGTTATGTAGGTCCTTGGATTTATCTGCAGATAATCAGCCATCCTCAGCAGGCAGAGGCAACCCTAGTCTTAGAGAACTCAGAACCCATAAAGAAAGAAACCACAGTGAGCCCAGTAGCTCAAGGCTGCTGAACACTGATGCTGTTCTGGGAAACGTTGAAGAACATTTGGAGAATCCAGAGGCCCCGAGTGAAGCAGGGTCTCCTGTCCTAGAGACGACGACTCCTGCAGCAGAAAGCGCACTGAGCTCTTGCACAATGATCGAAGGACTTCTCTTTCCCGTAGAGTATTATGTTAGGACAACTCGGCGTATGTCTGCCTGCCAGAGGAAAGTAGACCTGGAGGCTGTCATTCTCAGCCAGCTGGGCAGGAGCAGGAAGGGGCTGCGAAATAAACAAAAGCAGCTAAATTCAAATTCAGATCAGCTCTACCAAGAACCAGCCCAAAGCGATGTGCAGGCAGGGGGCACTCCGTTCCCTTTTCTAGGCGCAGAGAGTGACCCAGTGAGTTCGAGCAGCTCTCCGAAATCTCTCCCTTCCTCGGGGGAGAGCTGCACTTCCAGTGGGTCTCTTTCTCAGAAGAGTATTGTTAGTACACGACGAGCTAAAGGAAGAACCTGGCGGAGAGGAAGGGGCAGAGGGGGTTCTACCTGCAGACCTGCCCTGGATGCGTCGCAAGCACGTCCTGATAATTCAGATCTCATAGAGCCGAAGGAAAAGAGTGCTCGCATCTCAAGCGATTCTCACAGTGCAAAGGAAAACTGCGAGGGTGACCCAGAGAGCTCATCAGTAGGAAAAACAAGGGTGCTTGTCACCGCAGAAGCAGAAATGTCAGGCATTATATGGCCAGCTGAAGCTGATCTTCCTGAGGGAAACCAAACATTTGGCAAATGCCATCAGCCTCCTTTAGAACAGATGCAAACTCCACTGCCCGCAGTTAAAGAAACTCCACCTCGACATGATCTCCCAAGTACCTCTGTGAAACGTAAAGCGAGACAGGGATCTAAAGGTACCCGAACATCAGAGAGTTCCATGATAGGGCTAGTACCCACATTCCGGTGTGTTCTTAACCCAGCTTTGGCTCTTATTTTCTTAAACTTACCTTCCTGCTTTTTTGTGACCTTTTTTGCTACCGTCGTCTTGCTGGTGGAAGTGGTGGCATCTTTCGAAGGTACCTTTTTGTGGTCGAGCCTCCTGTAGATATGGTTCCTTCGGTTCCATATGTTAGAGTCAGGAAAATTGAGGGGAGAGTTTCCAACAAATAAACATCTCAAAAGTTCATTTTCTGGGCCTTCTGTGAGCCCTAAGCTTCTCCTCCCATGCTCTGCCTTGGTTGCTCACTGCTGTGAAATAGATAAGAAGCAGTGGCTGGGGAGCTTTGTGGAGAATATTTGGGCCAGGTACAAGGTGTGCTTGAGTCACACGGTTACAATACTCACTGCATGTGTGCAAGGCTGGGATTTGCACAGATGTGCCCCTCTCTTAGTTCCTTTAGACACCAGTCACCATAGTATCCAGGCATCAGCAGTACTTAAGTGCTGACAAAGTGCTTGACACTTTCCAAGGCACAATTAAAAAAAGACTTGACCCTAGGAGCTTACAATCAGCAGTTTGGAAACAAGAATCATTGGCGGGGGGAACGTTTTTAACCAAACAGCTAGCGATGCAGTCAGTTCCAGCAGCCTCTGCCGGAGGAGTCTAGCTGGAGTCCGAAAGCAGAGTGCCTTGCCTTGAGAAATGCATAATTGCCCTGAAATGTGTCTCTGGGAAAATCTTACTTCTGGTGCGAAATACCCAGAGGCTGTGTTTTACTGCATGAAGTGAGAGGAGGGAATTGCATGTCCGCTGGGTATTTGTACAACAATGTGACAGTCTTGCCTCTGAGTTCTCAATTCCGTACTATCGTGTGTTCCTGTTTCTAGGTAAAAGAGGGCGCAGTCAACAGATGGGCTTGGAAGATCTGACTCCTCTAGGCCGTCTTGATCTGGATCCTGTGGCCTTTGACCCTCCCTTTCACTTCCAGAATGAGATGCTCAGTCTCAAGTGGCTGCCCTCTAAGCTGGACATCAGAGACTTTCATTTACCGGATGAGGAGTTTGGTTTCCTTAAATTGGAGAAACTACAGTCCTGCCCAGTGAAAGAGCTGGAGCCCTTTGTTGCTTCCGGGTCTGGACGCGGGCAGCACCATGCTGGAGGCAGCGTGAGGCTGGGGGACGTGAGACACACAGTGAATACAGAAGGGAAGAGTCCAGAAAATAGCTTTATGTCTCCTGCAAAGGTGCTGTCGCCTACACAGCATCACTCAGCAGGACTGTTGCACAAGAGCAGGCTTTCTCCAAGGGAATTGCTGCTGACTCCGGCAAGTACTGTCTCAGCTGATGCCATCGCCCAGCGTAACTCTCAGATTCGCCTACCTGCTTTCCCTGTCTTGGGTGCGACCCCGGCCGTCCTGTCACAGTCTGACACGCTGTCTGTGCTTCCTTTGCAAGTGAAAACCAGTCCCTTCAAAGAGCCAGCCAGGTATGGCATGGATGGGAGGGAGCGTAATAACTCCACAAGCGTGTTGCACTCAGAGAGCTGCAGGATGGGATCTGATGGCATCTCTGACGAAGCCATCACCCTCAAAGAGCATCAGCCAGCAAGGAGCAGCTCCCCGGAGTGCTGCAAGGCAAAGGTAAAAGCAGAGCCCCCCAGGCAGGGAACACCCGAGCAGTGGTTCTGCCTAGGCGCCATCTTCCCCCAAATCTGTTCAGGGTTAGGGGCAAGGGCTTTCTGCCTGCTGCTCTTTGCTGCCAGGGCCGTGGTCTCCCTTAGCTGCCTGTTTGCCAGTGAGTTAGTCCGTGCCATCCCCGCCTTCCAGCAGAGCAAACCCTTTAAAATCCCACTGGCTTAACTCGAAGCAAAGGTAGAGTGTATGGGAGGTTGTAGGAGTGGAGGGTCTGCCCGCCCTAGTCAGACGGGTGCTTAGCCGCTCCCACTCTCCTTTTTTCCCTTCCCCGAGGCAGTCCTCAGTATTCTTCGTTTACTCTCCCCCGGCGCTTGACGCTTGGTTTGGCTTTTATCACCGGGGTGAGGGTGTAGGGGGGCCCGGGCCCGCCCTCTTTCATGGGCCCCAGCTCAGGGCCCTAAGGACAGGTTCGCTAGATCCTGTCCAGCCGGCGGGGCTAATGCCCGCAACTCACCAGCTCACCGGCTCCAAGCCCCGCCCTGGGCTACTTTCTACCCCACTGTCCTCTTTGGTCCTGCTGCTCTTACGCCGCCAGCCCCTCCTGGTCTGCCCCCAGGAGCACAAGCGCGACCGCGGGGTCAGTGCAGGGTGGGTCTGCCTCCGTGGGGTGGAGGCCGCCCGTCCCGTCACAGAGGTAAATTCTAACCATGCCAGTGAGCAGAATGGCTTGGTCCGGGTACTGAAAGAAAGGCTCTCAGCTGGAATTTTGTAAGGACAGCATTAGAGTACAGAAAGCCCCTCCTGGTCTGCCCCCAGGAGCACAAGCGCGACCGCGGGGTCAGTGCAGGGTGGGTCTGCCTCCGTGGGGTGGAGGCCGCCCGTCCCGTCACAGAGGTAAATTCTAACCATGCCAGTGAGCAGAATGGCTTGGTCCGGGTACTGAAAGAAAGGCTCTCAGCTGGAATTTTGTAAGGACAGCATTAGAGTACAGAATAGCCAGTGCAAGAGATGGGAGTGGAGAAAGGAAGGTGGAACTGCTTGCAGAGTGGTGATCAACCAAACACATTTGCTCTTTGTGAAGAGGGGTTGTAGGAGGCAGGGAGGACGGGTGTCAAGAGCATTCAAAGGAGGAGATAATCTTTTGTTTTCCAAAATGTATTCGTACAAAAGAGATGTTCATAAATCTGCTGCCCAGCAATCTGACGCAGTAAGTGTAGTCTCTTGTCCGTACTGGTACCGCTGAGCGTAATTTGCTGAAACTGTTTATAATCAGTCTGTATTTTTTCTTTGTACAGGACAAAACGACAGCAGAGCAATTGGCTGTAGCATTGAGTGACCTGGGAGACAGGAGCTTGCATCTGGCCTCAAAGCTAAAGGTTGGGAAACAGTATTTTGAGTTACAACCACAAATTGACTTTTTAAACAAAAAGTATTTTTAATCACTGAGACTTTTAAAATGTGTTTCTCTGTAGTAATAGAATCATAGAATCATAGAGCTGGAAAAGACCTCAGAAGGTCATCAAGTCCAGCCCCCTGCTCCAGGCAGGACCAATCCCAACTAAATCAACCCGGCCAGGGCTTTGTCAAGCCGAGACTTAAACACCTCTAGGGATGGAGACTCCTCTACTTCCCTAGGTAACCCATTCCAGTGCTTCACCACCCTCCTAGGGAAATAGTTTTTCCTAATATCCAACCCGGACCTCTCCCACCACAACTTGAGACCATCGGTCCTTGTTCTGCCATCTGTCACTACTGAGACCAGCCTCTCTCCAGCCTCTTTGGAACCTCCCTTCAGGAAGTTGAAGGCTGCTATCAAATCCCCCCCTCACTCTTTGCTTCTGCAGACTAAACAGACCCAAATCTCTCAGCCGCTTCTCATAGATCATATGCTCCAGCCCCCTAATCATTTTGGTTGCCCCCCGCTGGACCCTGTCCAATGCGTCCACATCCTTTTTGTAGTGGGGGGCCCAGAACTGGACACAATACTCCAGATCTGGCCTTACCAGAGCCGAATAAAGAGGAATAATTACATCAGTAAAGGGGAATAATGACATAATTATTAATAGCACACTATTGCACTATAAACACTGCAAAACAAGAGGCCAGTCAAAAAATACTCTGGCAATAATCAGTCAGCCCCCTTGTTGTCTTTTACAAAAAGCAACTAAAGAGCTGATACAGAGCCAGCAGGGCAGGGTGGCAGCTGCCTCCCCGGGAGTCGGTCCGTGCCGGGAGCCAGCTTTTAAGCTTTATACTTTGGAGCCTGCAGTGCGGGGCGGTCGCCAGCTCCCTGGAAACGGGCCGGCATTTGGCATGTAGCTGTAACGGGAACTGATACGTTGATGCTTATCAATTAATCGTTTAAGCGGTTACACTCTTACATCCCTGGTGGCTAGATTGATGGGTATCCATTACTTCTAAGATGAAATTGCCAAACTCATTTTCTTTATGGCCTAACTGGCATTGGGATCCAGGACTCCAAAGTCAAAATCAAAGGCACTAGCCCCCAACTCCAGATTTCCTTCACACTGGCACTCTGGCAGTGATTTCCTGCCAGAGTCACCCTGAATCTCCAGGCTGAAGATCTGTAGTTATTGGAATAGCTTCCGCACTGTTTTGTTTTGAGCAGAACCCCTCAAGTTCCTGTGCCGTGGACGTGAGCACTGTCTGGTGGGAATCAGCTGGCTGCACGGAACTGTGTATCCTCACTGCTTGTGAGACTTCAGTCTCTCTGTGGAAACCTCTGGCTTCCAGCCAGTGGAGAAAGGCGTATACCTGGCACCTTGCAGAGGTAAATTAAAGAGAAGTTTCCTTTTTACTGTAAGGTAGTTTTCTGGTAGTATTAGGCCACTTTGCAAGATGCCCACAACCTGTAGACTCCGAAAAGGGAATGTACGTTCTTTTACACAGTTGGGCAGATCCTTAGCTGGCACATGTTGGTGTAGCCCCCCTGAAGGAAGCTAAGCAACTAAATTTGCACCACCTTAGAATGCAGCCCAATATTTTGAACAATTCAATTTCATAATAAATGTTAGTTCCTTACAGTTGTATGTTCCCTACTGTTAGTTCCTTACAGTAGACCTCCACATACTGGATATTGATTGTACAGCAGCATGACTTATTTGTGTCCCCTTCATGGCCTTAAACTACTCAACTTCTTTTGATATATCCTTGTCTTCCCAAAAGTCATTGCCTCCTGTTTAAGGTAAGGACAGAGATGGTGATTGTTGATTCTCTGCTGCATCTAACTGTGCTTCTTTTTATGTAATGGGGCGAAAGTCTATCCGAGAAGGAGCTTATGGATGTCCCTACCTAAATCCCTGTCCTTTGTCTTCACAGATTCCAGTAATACAAATTGTTCCCTTGCCAGATGTCTGTAATCTTGTGTGTGTTGCCTTGGGAGAGCTGGAGATTGGAGAAATAAGGTGAATGTTGCTGGATATGTGTGTTTTTATTGCATATTGAACATTTCCAGTCTCATTTCTCCAGCTTGCCCGCAGATAATCGTGTATTACTTGTGCCCAGTGTTCCCTCTCATTTGTTATGTCCGTGTGAGGAATGCGTTTTGTGATGTGCACTGATTTGGAGGTAATGTGTGACACGCAATGTCTGTATTGGTGCACATCATAGAACTCATTCCGCACACGTACAGTGCAGCGGGGGAGGGCTGAGGGGTTAAGAGTGTGAGAGGGGGCTCGGGTGGGGCAGAGGGTTGGAGGGTGGGGCGGGGAGGGCTCTGGCTGGGAATGCAGGTTCTGGGGTGGGGCCAGGAATGCAGGGTTTGTGGTGGAGGAGGTTGCTCAGGGCTGGGGAGTGGGAGGGAGAAAGTGAGTGCTCTAGATGGGGATATAGACGTTAGGGTGAGGCTAGATTTGAGTGGTTTGGAGGGGGTGCAGGCTGCCTCTGGGAAAGAGGCCTATCCTCAGCCCTCTCTCCCCGCAGAAGCTTGGGGCCAGGTAAGAAGCATCTCCCCATGGCCAGTGGGACCTGGCTGGGGAGGGACGCCACTCTATGGCCCTGGCATGTCTGGGCTAGGCTGGGGAAAGGATGGGGAAGCAGAACCTCTCTCCCAGATGGGGCAGGTTCATGCTGGGGCTGGGTTGGGTATTGGGAAGGGCACCTCTCCCTTAGCCGTGACCAGTCCAAGGTAGCTCTGCACTGGGGCCGGCAGGCAGAGGCGCCTCGCTCACTGCAGCTCTGAGCCCCTGCACGGGGCTTAATATGCAGCTGCACAGCTTAGAGGGGACTTGGCTTGTGACCACCTCTCTTGCCCAGAGGCCGAAGCACTCTTGCTGATGGATCTTTTAAGTGATCTCACAAATAATAAAACATCTTTCAAAATAGATTTTTTTGCCTTTACTCAGAGGTCTGCAAGGATTCTCTTACTCCTCATTTCCTCCCTCTGGTTCAGATGTGACTGCTTAGAAACAGGCCGGATTTGGGTTCCATTTCCTTTTCCTTCATTATGATGTGGCTTTCTGTTCTGATCTGGTTTAGGCTCTTGCTTTGTTCTTCCGAAGATGGCTCCTTAAAGCAATCGCTAATGAGAACTGGGAACATCAAAGCTGTTCTTGGGCTGACAAACAGGAGGCTGGTCAGTAGTAGCGGGGCCCTTCAAGACCAGCAAATCGAGATAATCTCCGTTTTGGAGGCAGGGAGGTAAGCAGTCTCGTATTTGTGCTGTTCTCAGTATGGGGATGGGAGAGCCCTCTGGAGATGTCACCAGTATCTGTGGAGCCAAGGGGATCGTATGCTGTCCTTCCTGGAGTATTGCTGCATGTGACTCATTCTCTGGAGTATTGAAATCTGAAGGTTTTCCCCCCTCTACTGTTTATGTTCATGTGCTCCCCAGAAGCAAAGAGAGGCAGAGTTTGATGCCCCCAGAAGAAACCATTCTGGCATTTGCTGAGGTGGAAGGGATTAGAGATGCTTTGGTTGGCACCACTGCCATGAACAACCTTGTTATTTGGTAAGTACTTCCTCTGAGATGACACTATCTCCCCGGGGCTTTTGGGGAGGAACTGTAGCGTGTGGGATCAGACAGTAGGAGGAGAGGAGGATGCACAGTGATTTTGGCTGTAATAGCTAGTTATCAGTCCTACATGGTGGAGTTTGCTGCTGGTTTGCCTTTGCCACAGTCTAGTGCTGCTCACGGCACTTGTATGTTGTATCCTTTTCCCTTTCCCATTATCTACCACCTTATTGGAGTGGTAATTTGTTGGGATAGCACCTTGCTCACTGGCACTACTGCAGTCTAAATACTAAGTATAAATAAGAAGGTTTATAAAAGTCGGATGATCTGTTTCCATTTTCTGCAGGAACTTGAAAACCGGCCAGATTCTGAAAAAGATGCATGTTGGTTATTCCTACCCTGCCTCCATCTGCCATCGTGCCTATTCTGACTCTGTATGTATGTGAAGCAGTGTCATTCTGTTTGTGCTGGGAGTGCCTGTGACTGGGGTTCAAAGGCGTAGTTGTCTAAGGCCAGGTCGATGCAGGACCTGGAAGGTTGGGCTAAGGTGCACAACTCCAGCTATGTAAAATACAGAGCTAGAGTCAGTTTACCCTAAACTGAGCTCGGCAGTAGGGAGGCTGACAGGGAGCAAACGGGCTCATTGCTTCCATTACTCCTCACAGCTGGCAGGAATACCTGCACTTTCTGGGGCCACCCTCAGCGTTTGATTTAGCAGGTCTTAATTAGACCCACTAAATCAAACACCAGAAGATTGATCTTCAGCACAGCAAGCAAAGACATGGCCTAAAAGAGGCTCCTGGATTTAAGGACCTTTTTGTGTTCAGGTCCACAAAGAAAAGAAAAAGGAGTTGGTTGGTAGTGAAGAGGTTGAATCACTTCTCTCAATTTCTTGTTCTTTTCACAGATATATTGGTTAAGCAAAAGAATAACACACCCCGGGGAAGGGGGGAGAGAGTGAGTGAATGTGTGTGTGTGTGTGTGTGTGTTAGAGCTATCATTTATTGGTGGATTGCACACTCAGCCTTTCCCGATTCACAAATGGTTAGCTCCCACCACAGTGATGCTACAGCATCGTCTTATAATTGTGGAATTATTCGATGGTTACATGCACCCCAAAGACTCAGAACTTGATCTAAACCCACAAACTTGTGTACGAACTTGTGGTTCCAATTCTGATGGATCTTCCCATTCACTAGCACCTCTGCCATGATTCCTGGATGTTTTGCCAAGTTGCATTCTTAGGATTTGTGAGTGAGGTTCATTTCCTCCTGTAGGTGTATACATTTAATGCTTATGAATGTTTGGATTAATAGCACTTGAGCCAGGTCAGCGGGAGATTCAAGATCTGTCTCCCAGTACACTCTGTCCTTTGCCTTGCCTTGAGCAGAAGCTGCCAGTCGCTTCTAATTGTGCAGTAGTTATGTGAACAAATGGCTAAGGACTAGACTGGGACCAACACACTCATTTTTGGTGTGAGTTAATCCTGATGGGAGGTTAGCTGTTTTGAGCTGGAAAAGTGCCTAAATTCATTGTGTTCCTGACTTGTCATTCCACTGCACCAAATAAATCCTAACCAACCGGCCTCCCAGCAGCTCCTGATTTGTTTGTATTTAATTGGATAAATATTGGGAGTGGTAAGTTCTTACTGCTTACAGCATCAGCGGGCACCGGCTTCTGATTACAGGCAAGAGTTTTCCAATGATTGATTGAAAAAACCCACCCCAGCTTGTTATTGTTTTTCTTTTAACTTTTACTCTACTGACCTCTTTTTCCTTTGTAAATCAGGGCCTCTTGTTTGTTGTTTTAAGTCACCCACATGCCAAAGAGAATGAGTCCTGTGGAAACCCTGCATTCCGGGTGAGAGCGTTCAATCCCAGGACAGCCAGAAGCACTGGGGTCATGTTCTTCTCCCTCCCTCCTGGACACAGCGGAAGGCAAGTACCTCAGGAACAACGCACGTATATTTCTTAGACTATTTTATAAGCAGAAACTTGGACTCATTTAATGATCAAAGGAGCCCAAAGCTGGCAAGCCACGAGGGGCCATTTGTCCTCTCGCTGATGATAGTGAGGTTGCGATAAGTCACTTCAACCTTTGTCTGTACCGGAGATCCCAGTGAGGGTGTTGCCCATTTCCTGCCTGTTTCCTGACCATGCCTGTGAGCTAACCTCTGAGCTCCCGGTGTCAGAGGATCTCCCTGGTGTGCCAGGAAAGAGCCCTATGTTCAGGCAAGGGAATTTACTCCCTTGCAGGCTTCACGCTTTATTTGCTTTCATAAAATGTTTCTGGGAGGAGAGATTCTGTAGCAGAAGCTGTAATTTTCTGAATGCTCTGGGAAAATGTAGGCAAATTAACACTGTAAATACTTAAAACTGTTTGAGAGTCTTCTCTCTGGATGTAGGTACATTAATTCATGAGTACATTGCCATTTGTAGCTAGGTGACCTGTATCTTAAATCTGGAGATAAGACATTTAGTCTCCAATCCTTCAAATAGTTACATGCGTAAGAAAAGTTACACAGGAGTGTAAGCGTTCGCAGATTGGGACTGTAGAACGTGGTACTGCTTAACAATTGACTTCTACCTCTCCTGGTCAAATGCAATGAAGATGACTTACAACGTCATTATATTTTAGTTTCCTACCATTAGCTTACGCCAGGGGTGGGCAATAGTTTTTGTTGGAGGGGACACTCCAAGAATTTGGTAAGTGGTCAGGGGCCGCACACTTCCATGATATTAATGGAGGAAGTGTGAGGTCTGGGCTGTAGGCTGCGTGCAGAAGTGAGCTTTGGGTAAGGGATTGTGATGCAGGAGGGTGTGTGGGGTCTGGGAGGGAGCTTGGGTGAAGGAGAGTTGTGACCTCGGAAGGGGAGGGAGGTGCAAGGTGCAAGAGAGGATTCTGACCTGGAGGAGAGGTGCAGGTGGGAGGTGCTCTGGGAGGGGGTTGTGACTTGGAGCTAGGGTGCAGGGATTTGGGATATGACTGGGTGGGAGGGGATATGGGTGCAGGAGCCGAGGGTGCAGAGGGTTTGGGTTACATGGGGTGTAGGGGTGCCGGAGGTGGGGCAGAGTGTTGGGGGGAGAGAGGGGGTTGGGTCCCAGAGGCAGGCTCTGGCTGGAAGGTGCTTATCTGGGCAGCTCCTGGCCAGCAATCTAGCAGGCTCCTCAACCAGGCTCCCTGCCTTCCATGCCCCTGCAAACCGCTCAGAGCAGTCGGCTGCAGGGGCCATGCGCTGTTCTGAAGGCCATGAGCCCAGTGGGAGAGATGGAGGTGTACTTTGCGTGCTGCCTGTCGTGCAAACAGGCAGCTTCCACTGGCTAATTTCTGGACAGTGGGAGCTGTTGAGCTTGTGCTGGGGGCAAGGGCAGCATGTGAAGCCCCTCCCCCTCTTCTTGGACTTGCAGCATTCAGAGAAACACTTGGCCATCGCAACGGCTTCTGTGAGCAGCATGCAGGGGCGGGGAGGAAGGAACGTGCCTGAGGTTCCCGCTAGCCTGTGGGCTGGATCCAGGGGCTTGGCAAGGCAGATTTTGCCCGCTCTCTGGCTTGTGCTCTAATAGGTTTCTTTCTATTTAAGAGGCTCTGCCATGCGGAAAACTTGTATTTCTTTTACATTCAACAAATCGGAAATAAAACCTGTAGAATCTTGTGCGATGGCGTTGTGTAGACTTACTCTTCTATGCGTTTTGTTAGGTACCTGGAAGGTGAAGTGAAGGGTGGCTCCGCGGCAGCTGTGCTAACATCTGGAACAATCGCAGTGTGGGACTTATTTTTAGGCCAATGTACTGCTCTGCTTCCACCAAATACTGATGGGAAATGGTCTTTGGTCAGGTGGTCAGTCACAGATTCCTGTCTCCTGGCTGGACAGAAAGACGGAAGCGTGTACATGTACCATTATTCACTGTAGGGAATTGAATGGGTAATACGATGGCTTCTCAAAGCTAACAGAGTTTGCCCTGATAATCTAAAGTAAATGGAGCAGTTTAGGATTTTAAGTTGAAAGAAGATTCTTCAGTGTCATCTGTTCGCTTTCCCACAAGTATACTGAGTTCACAAGGTCTGTAAGATAATGCTGGTCAACCTGGCTGACTTGGAATGTTTCTTGTCCTGTTCATTAGATCTGTGAAGCCAGTGGCATGCTGTTTAACAGAGATTGGCTAGATCTACCTGTTGGCATTCAGGGTTTGTACATTTCATTGTGAAAAGCATTTTCAGTGGATTATTTTGATGTAAGATGCTATTAAACTTTATTTTTGTAAACTGCCTTCTCGCTTATGCGATTTTTGTGTCACTAATTTCATTAGTAAAAAATGTTATTTCAGCAATTATGCACAGTGAGCTAAACATAGCTAGCACCAGATCATGGATGAGAACAGCAGCCAAGATTCAGGGCTGCCCAGTCAAGCCACTCTGAAAACACACCTCCATTCTGCCGTTTTCAGGTATAGAAATAGTTTTTTCCTTCTCATGTGTTGGTTCAGCTGCAGCTCAGATGGCTTTCTCGCTATCGCTAGCAGCTGTTTGGTGTCTTTAAGAAATCAGTTGGAATCTGAAGTAAGTTGTCATGGGATAAGAGGGAAGGTCCTTTCATGGATTGATAACTGGTTGAAGGACAGGAAACAAAGGGTAGGAATAAATGGTCAGTTTTCAGAGTGGAGAAAGGTAACTAGTGGTATCCCCCAAGGGTGTCTGAAAAAATGCCCCAAACCGTCATTTTCTCAACTGCAGTCTTACATTTCCGACCCCAGCAGCTATTCTTTGGAAATGTCCATGGCCTTAGGATATTTGGCAGACAGTCCCAAATCCTCATGCGGCGTTTCTGACAGAACTTGTGAAGCTGACTTCTCTTTGGTTTTGCCACCAGACTCGGTACCTCCTGACATAGCAGCGGAGATAAGAGTTGAAACTGAAAAACCAAAGCACACTCCGGAACTAAACCATTTGCATGAAGATGCCCAGGGAGAAACAAACCCAGCAGGGAACCTGGAGATGCAGCAGAATAAGAGGAAATCCAGCAGAGACATTGTGACTAGCACAAAGAAGAAATGGGTCCCTTTGAAAATATTTTCTGTGGTGGACAGCAATAGAAAAGGGACCCCCCAAAAAATGAACATTTCTTTTCCTTTTCCCAAAAAACAAGGGCTCATGACAAATTCTAATGAGCCCACACTTAAATTAGCTAATTTGCAGTTTCCGCATAAAAGGAAAAGAGGTAAGCACTGTATAACCAGGCAGCTCAAAACACCTTCTCTCATATAATCCATCTCTGAAGTTTTAAACACATTGTGCTGGCATATTTAAGGAACCCCACTCAATTCTTGTCTGGTGTAACAATGTTAGCAATAATAATCAACTAGGTTTCAATCTGCAGCGGCAGTCAAAAAAGCAAACAAAATGTTAGGAATCATTAAAAAAGAATAAAAGAAGATCTTATTGCTTCTATATAAAACCATGGGACCCCCAGCGGTGCCCGCCGGGGCATTTATGTGCACCTGCCAAAACATCTGGGCTGCCCCCCCTCCCGGCACATGCGTGGTGCCAGCCCCGGGTGTGTGGCATATGGGCGGCCCCTGCCCCCACCCCCGGGTGCATGGCACGTGAGCAGTCCTGCCAAAACATCTGGGCTGCCCCCCCTCCCGGCACATGCGTGGTGCCAGCCCCGGGTGTGTGGCATATGGGCGGCCCCTGCCCCCACCCCCGGGTGCATGGCACGTGAGCAGTCCCACCCCCGGAAGCGCGGCGCGTGAGCGGTCCCACCCCTGGATGCCCGGCACGTGAGCAGCCCCGCCCCATGGAGCCCGGCAGCCACGAAAGGTTGGGGACCACTGAACTAGATACATTCATGGAGGTTAGGTCCATCAATGGCTGTTAGCCAGGATGGGTAGGAATGGTAGGCCATGATGTCCTTAGACTCTGTCAGAGGCTTGGAATGGGTGACAGGAGAGGGATCGCTTGAAGATTTCCTGTTCTGTTCACTCCCTCTGGGGCATCTGGCATTGGCCATTGTGGGCAGACAGGACACTGGGCTGGATGGACCTTTGGTCTGACCCAGTCTGACTGTTCTTAATCTAAGTGCGGTCTTCATTGGTCAAGTATGCGCATCACAATTATCAGGCCTCTTGTACTAATCCAGAGGACCTCCACTCCCAAGAATCACAGTTTCTAAATTAACTGCACCTGTGACCCCTTCATGACTTTCTTGAGGGCACCTTTCTTAGGTCTTAGGTCTCAGGCCTCTAACTATCACCATGCTCAAGGTGGTAACCTGTGATTCTCTCCCTGCAGACCCTAGCATCTTAGGCTATGTCTACACTGTGGAGCTATTTTGGGATATCGGAAGTATCCTGAAATAGGTATTCCACATCTGTGTGCCCCCATTATTTTGAAACATAACAGGCTTGCTATTCTGATGTCCCTGTAAACCTCATTCCACAAGGGTTAAGGGACGTTTTGGAATAGCGCTTTATTTCAAAATTTGGCAAAGACAAAAATTTATGTAGACAGTGCCAAATGTCAAAATAAGCTATTTCACAATTACCTTGAAATAACCTGTGCAATTTGCGTAGTGCACATTGCGTGTTTTATTTTGAGGTAAAGGTGCAGCATAGTCTCACCCTTAGACAGCAGCCTTCTGTAATTCACTGGTCCTCTGAGCAGGCCTGATTTCAGCTCAGCTCCTGCAGTCCTGTGCTTTCAGGAGCAATGACGGTTATCCAGTGACCAACCAGCTCTCCTAAAGCAAAGTTCTGTTGATTCAGAACAAAAGCATGTCGGAGGAACTGTATCTTAAAAGCAATAAATATTGTATATACTGGGGCTGTCTACATTGGCATCCCTTTCCGGAAAAGGGATGCTAATGAGACACTTTGGAATTGCAAATCTGCGGGGTATTTAAATATCCCCCCGCGGCATTTGCATTTACATGGTTGCTGCTTTTTTCCGGCTCGGGGTTTTTGCCGGAGAAAAGCGCCAGTGTAGATGCGATTCTCTGGAAAATAAGCCCTTTTCCGGAAGATCCCTTATTCCTACTTTCAAGTAGGAGGAACTGTATCCTCCTTTCAAGTAGGAATAAGGGATCTTCCGGAAAAGGGCTTATTTTCCAGAGAATCGCATCTACACTGGCGCTTTTCTCTGGCAAAAACCCCGAGCCGGAAAAAAGCAGCAACCATGTAAATGCAAATGCCGCGGGGGGATATTTAAATACCCCGCAGATTTGCAATTCCGAAGTGTCTCATTGGCATCCCTTTCCGGAAAAGGGATGCTAATGTAGACACAGCGTGGTGGTATGTATCAGGTGATAACCATCTTCCACTGGGACACCTTGGTAGGTTTTAAGGAGTTGCATGTCTTCCCACAGGACCTCTTTCTGGTCAGTTTCATGTCTTGTCAGTTCTTGGGAGGAGTGTGAGTGAGCTCTCCTGAAGCCAAGGCCAATATTTTATGCAGTTTTAAGTCCTTTGTTTTTTGAAGCCTCTTGAACTAGGTCTGACCAGCCTATATGGGTTCCCTGGGTGGCAAAACTGGCTACTTGAATTGTTTCAGTATTGAGGGTTTGCTTTAATTACTCCCTCTCCCCACCAGTGTCTGTTTTCTGCAGAACTAAAATCTTCAGTTCACCCACTGAGCCAGGAATACATGGCCCATAATGATGTATGGAATATTCATAAAGGTAATACAATGAATAGGATTTGAGTAGTGAATGAGTCCACGAGGCTCTTGGCCTTTCTGGGCAAGCTGTGAGAAGTAGCAGGAGCCAATCCAGAAGGTGTTCTCAGAGACTGACCACAGACTGGAGCCTGCAGGTCTGATCCCCTAGTTTGAGACTCCTGTGTCAAGGATTTAGCGACACTGGTGGTATGCTGCAGTTGTACCATAGTTGTGTAGAGACACCTGCTTATCAACCGATAGTTCCCCCCATCAATGTAGTTAATCCAACCCTCTGAGAGGCAGTAGCTACACCAACAGAAGAATCTTCCATTGACCTAGCCACATTAACAGTGGGGGTTAGGTCCACTTTGTAGCCCTAAGATTGACTTGAGCCATGGCAGGCTGGTAACTAGAAATCATCTATATATGGGGGGGGGTGTGTGTGCACACACATATGCTGCTTTTCCTGCTGTATGTTTAATAAACACAGCATATTGCTTTTTCCCCTGAAAAAGATCCTGGGTGCTTCTTATAAGCATAACAACCTGACTCTGGTGGATAGGGCATTAAATGCTTTTACAGCCCTGGGTTGCACCTAAGTTGACCTAGGTCAGTGGTTCTCAACTTTTTCAGATACCGATTTGTGTTGCGTGCCCCCAAGTTTCACCTCACTTAAAAACTGTCCTTACGAAATCAGACACAAACATACAAGAGAGGGCACAACACGAGATTGCTGAAAAATGGCTCGCTTTCTCATGTTAACCTATTACACAACAAATCAGTTGGATGATAAATATTTGACGCGTGTTTCAATGCAGTCAATGTGTGTAAAGCAGTCAGGTTGTATGAAATGTTAGTTTGTAGCAACTGTGCTGGGCTTTTCATGCAGCCTGTTCTAAAACTAGGCAAATATCTAGCTGAGCTGATGTGACCCCTGGATGCCTTCTATGTAGCATCAGCTGGGCTGGCCCTAGCATGGGTGTGGGACCTAGGACAACCGCCTCATCCACCCATGTTCCGCCCTTTCCCACATTCCGCTCCTTTCCCCAAGAGATATGGCCCGGGGCCTAGCTGGGGCCTAGAGCGGGCAGCAGGAGTTGGGCCCACCCTGGCACTCACTGCTCACTCCCAGCCATGTCCTGGCACTGGTGAGTGCAGGGCACGGTTCCACCTCCTCCCCTTGCTGGGCCCAAGCTGCTCTGCTTCCCACCACTGCAGGTGATGGGGGTTAACGTGTTTGAACCTCTGAGAGGGAGCATGTATCAGTATCTGCCCGCGCACCTGTGTTCATGTTATGTATGAGTATTATATTATTTATAGCATGCACCAGGAGCGCAGGCAGACACTGACCCTGGCACAGGCGGACTGACACAGGCGGACACTGACCCTGGCACAGGCGGACTGACACAGGCGGACACTGACCCTGGCACAGGCGGACTGACACAGGCGGACACTGACCCTGGCACAGGCGGACTGACACAGGCGGACACTGACCCTGGCACAGGCGGACTGACACAGGCGGACACTGACCCTGGCACAGGCGGACTGACACAGGCGGACACTGACCCTGGCACAGGCGGACTGACACAGGCGGACACTGACCCTGGC